CACCTTCTTTTATTTCATTTCTTCTTTGATATCTCCGTAATGTCAGGCGTTTATCTGTTTGATGTTATCGCTGTCTTATAAAACGTACCGCTGATCTTTTCTGTAGATATTGCACAAAAATCTCAAGGCTTGTGTGCAATATTTTCAATTACTCCTTTCGGTTTAACCTATCGATTCAATATACAATAGTTACATATATAGTTTGTTGCATATTATGGAATAAAGAAAATTACCTCATTAAAATTACCTCGTCATTTATTTAATTATAATAAATATTTATAATTTGATAAATATGGAATATTTAATTATATTATAATTAATTGAATATTCTTTTCCTAATTCTCTATTTGTTTTCTCATTTCTAGAACTAATTTATTGATCATGCAATGTACTCAAAAAATATCTTGGAAAATAACTTTTACCAAACGTACCAACATTTATTCCTATATAATTTGACCAATATATTACCTGGTTTGAAAAGGAAAAAAAGAAACGAAAAATGAAATGTTAAGATATTAGAAATGTCTTTTGCAATCCATTGCTTTGCTCTAGCATGACTATCGAGTATCAAACGAGTCTTGGTTGCGTAGGCATTGACCTGTCGAGTTCTATCGAATTGTCAAATCTGTTTATCTGTTTGTAAAAAGGAAAGTATATGTCAGAAAAAAAGTGACACTTTTACATGGTGACGTTGGTTAATAGGCGGCCAATAGAAAATAGTTTCACAGGTATTATGCAATGTGATAAATTAAAGGCGATGGACCGTGAAACGCATAAGACGTGTATACGAAGCAAAGATTTTTACTATCATGTATGTACGTGTACATGAATAAACACTAATGTAATTGTATCTCTACGACTTAGCATTTTCTTTCGTAAATAGGATTTAGTTTTAAAACGTTAATAATGAAATACCGTAATTGATCGAATCATTTTAAGTAATTGTAAAACAAACTGATTCTGTTAAAAAAAAAAATTGCTCATTATTAAAAGATTTCAGTTTTTATTTCTCAAATAATAATTAGATAATTAACTGAATAGATGTAAGAAATTTTTTCTAACAATCTATAGAAGTAGGATAAATAAAAAGCGTTATAATTTAAAAAGAAGCATAAGGAAACATAATAAATCATGAGATCGTTTTACGACTAACGTGATGTAAATCGATGATAAATATTCCTTGTAACTCTAATTGCCGTTTGTATTTAACGAGCGGATAATAAACCACCTCAATCAATCACTTGATAGATCAATATCATTGTTATGTGAAAGAGAAAAAAGGCTTAGCATCGAATGTGTTTTAGAAATGTTTACGAATAGGTTCATTGTGTCAAGGCAATAAAATAAAGTAAATCATCGAAAGTGATTTAAGAAATTCATCACAATATTACTAATACATGCAAATTTGTATATAAATTTCTTTTTCTCTCTATATTTTCTAAATTATTAAAAAATACTATCTGCCATCCATTAATTTCAACATGTAATCGAAATTCGCTAAATAGAAACTTCGCATCATATCGAATTATAAGTTTTTATCTTATTAATTATTCATATAAAAAAAAAGCAGGAATCGATTGTAATGAATTATACAATAGTGAATCTTTTCAACTAATTTCGAAACAATATTTCCTTATAACTTATTTTTATTTATAGTATGTGGGATAGTTTTGTGATAAGTAAACGGAACAATGTTTTTCAAAACAATTTCGAATCATTTTCATTGGAAGCCTTCAAACAATTTTCATACAATATTTCATTCCGAAGCTTCTGAAAAATCGAACGATTAGTCCGAAAAAAGCTGTTGGACTAATTATGTTCACGATCTTAAATCGGGATGCTCGTTAACACGGACGTAATCAAAAGGGTAGTAATAATAAATTAAACCGAAATTACAGGTTTAAAGTGTTCTTTGACTTTTCGTTAAATTGTCAAGCTTTGATTACTCTTTAAAAGAATGTGCTTTCTCGACGATTAATAAAAAATCGCGGAAGAAAAGGGGGTTTTGTTTCTCTGTGTGCGGTTCTTTACCGGTTCATAATAGAGTGCATGCATGTATAAGTGTTCATTCTCCGTAACCGATCATCCATGAGACATAAAGCAATTTTTTGTCGTCAACTCATTACTCTTAATGAATAGTCTTTTTGTCCCTTGAAACGTATTCATTAAATGTTTCCGCATTCAATATACTTCCTACGCACACTTTCAATTTACTATTGCATCAAACTCTAATAAATTAGAAATTCGTTTGAAATCATAACACAAATACAGAAACATAGAAACATAATTAGGTTGCAGGTATACACCGAAGTGTTACGGTTTTCTGTATTTTATATTGCAATCAATATAAAATAAAATTTATTACAATTAACAATTTCCAAAATATCGATATTTCTCTGATTACTTTGTTTCTAATTATATTTTTGTATCGTAGTAAATTATTTTTTGTATAGTAGGAAATTATATATTGTATTGTAGGAATTTATATAGTAATGGTGATAATAAAATAGCAACATAATACAGTTGTATTTGATAGACACTTTTACTTTAACTCTTTATATTTTGTTCTTACTTTTCTCTTTTTAACATTTTTTGAAAACTTTATACTAAACTTTATCACTTTCTTATTGAATGTTTTCTTTCGATCTTGAACATCGTATCATCTAGTCATTTATTTGTCATACATCCGTCCTCACTTTCACATACTTTCGCCACATACTAGTTTTATCAAATTTGCAATTCAAAATTCAACATACTATAATTAATTGAAACATTTTTAATACAGAATAAGTGATATGTTAATAGCAATCGAATAATACACCTACGTAAAACTACAAATAAAATTAAATGAAGTAAATGTAATTTAAACGAAGTATAGACATTTGCGAAATTATTTCATATATCAGTCGTATAATCCTAGAATTTAATGAATATATTTATGAATATATATGATATGATAAAAAACGAAAACATACGAATAAAATATACAAATGTTTAAATCCATTACGCAGCCAGTATAAGAATTAAATTAAGATAATAAAAGACCACTCCAAGTCAGAATTAAAAATCTATACCGAATAACTACCAATTCGTATTTGATATAAATCATATGTAATAAGGATATTATAATTGAACGATAAAATAAAAATGGGAAATGTCCTTGATACCTTTCTTTCATTTTAGGATTTATGTAAAATTTATAATAAAAGATGAGCAATACCATTACCAAAAACTAAAATATATGCTCATTGGCGAAACAGTCAACTATCATACATCGAGATACGTTTCTCTCGAGATGCGTGACGTAAAATAAAGTGAAATGATTCCGCTAGGGATCTCCTTCTCCTTGGCTATATATATACCCGCTTTCTATTACGGAAAGCTACAGTTTATCTGCATTATTCGTCAGTGATAGTTTAATAGTGTCTTCTCACTTTATTTCGCGAAACTTAGAACAGCACCCTCAAATATACACTCTTTGATAAGTGCGTTTTCACGAATTTAATCGTCTTTTTATTTATTCACTAATATTCCATAATCATTTGTGCTAAGAAAAGCATGAATAAGAAAATGAATGCGAATTGTTTGGTCAGATTTGTTGCATAAAACAAAACAGGTTATTCTGAATTTTTTATATCGTCGAATTTAATGTTCATATTAACATTTATTATCGGTTGTGTAAATTTGATCGTTTAATGAATTTTGTAAAACTGTATTTGTATCGATGATTTTATACTATTATATAAATATTCTTCAAAAGGTTTTATGTTTAATATACAAAGACTTATTTTTTTATTATCTTATTTACAGCAATTTACAATATAGAGATTATACTATTAAAAATATGAGAATACGTTTTTTTTAAATTTGTTACTTGAAGAGAAATTAATATAAAAATTATGATTCGCCTTATTAATTCATATAATATTATTTCGTCAATTAACATTTGGAAGATTCTAAACGCTATGAATTATAACAGAAGAAAAATTTTACATAAAGGAAAAATAAATTTGAAATGATTAGTTTCTGAAAAACACCGAAAAGTTTTCAACTTTACCAAGAATCAAAAGATTTCTTCGACTTCCATCCTGATCAACGAGATCTTTATTGCATCGATTACTTATCGAAGTATTTAAAAATGAGAATGGAAGAAATTTTCATATTATATTTCCGCGTCGTTCTTAATACGTAAAAAATGTAAACCTATTTCTAAATAGGAATGATATATACGAGCACGAGGAAAAATAAAACTTTCTCTTACGATTTATATTTCTAAGCATACTTTTTTTTGATTTTCATATGATCAATAAATAATTCTCTCTTACTATATTTTTCCTTTTTAGGAACGCCATTGTTTATTAGTTTTTATTAATTTCTCTCCAATTGCCTAAAGAAATAAAAAAAAATCTTTCATTTTCATTAAAACATCGTATCTAATAACAAGAATGTTGTTATCGAAAATATATATTTTTTTTATTCATATACATGTTATAAAAAGAACAGTAATATCACGAATCCAGAATAACCTGTTTTGTTTTATGCCATAAATCTGACCAAACACTTCGCATTCATTTTCTTATTCATGCTTTTCTCCATTTAATCTTCGTTTTATTAGTCATTTATGTACATGTATCCATATATATGTTGTTAATTAGGCTATCTTTTTTTATTAATTTTTTTCTCATTCGTTCGTTGTCATATATAATTTTTTTAAATGACAGTGTGACGATAAAAGAGAAAGAATATTTATGAGCGAATGTAAAAATTAATCTCGCATAAAAAAAAACATAATTATATGATATTAGTAAAAATGGAGTGGTTAAATTTGTTTCCATGCTAGTTTTGAACCTAAAATGGATCCTTTAAATAAATATTTATTAATTGCATTCATGTATACCAAAGAATTCATCAATTCAATATTCATTGATTCAGTTCATTGATTTCATTTTTTTCCAGCTAAAGGACGACGAAAAAAGAAAATTAGTCTGAGACAAAAAAAAATGAATCTGTTGATACGATTCGTCGTTTCTATTTACCTATTATCCACCGTTTTAATCACAATTTATGCCAGTAATACACTTAAAGGATGGAATTCTCACTTTGGACGAGCTCCACTTCTCGAACGATATTCCTGGAAGATTCTTGATTTTGCTTATCCCGACGAAGCGAGTAGAAAGCTCGCTTTATCAATGGGAGAATTCATACCGGAGAATGCATTACCAGTGGGTATAGAAATATGGCGTAATAAGCTCTTCATCACGGTTCCAAGATGGCGAAACGGTAACTTATCTTTCACTTTCGGTAACTTCTTCATTAGTCTTATTAATATATTCGTACTACTCATTTTATTACATTTTTTATATCAATCTAATAAATATCGATCAAGGATTCATTACAAAAATAATATGATTCATTTTAACGTTCGTTTTTTCTTTACGGATAGATATTTAATTTATCAATTTATAGAAATAAAATAATAAACCTTCATTTATGTCATCACTACTGACATAATTTTTCGCGTATAAAAAAATATTCTATCGATTTAATGGAAATTATGATGATTGATAGGGCAGAAATTGAAAGTAACAAATACGAAACGTCTGTCTTTTTCATCTCATTGTTGAAAAAAAGACATAAAAAGGTAGGACCGTCTCTTCCGCGCTTTTAGTTCACTGATGATCATATGTGTCTCAAGTCAGGAACCGGAAGTCCGTGAGAGAACTATAGAGGGAGGCAAGGGCAGTGTCGCAGGAGGTATACATTCAAATCTTGTCTGGACGACTTCCGGTTCGCGACAAAAAATGCCGAAAACCGCGAGAGCAACTTGAATGGATCTCTCTTTCTTTCTCCCCTCTCTCTCTCTCTCTCTCTCTCTCTCTCTCTCTCTCTCTCTCTCTCTCTCTCTCTCTCTCTGTCTTTCTCTATTTCACTCACTCACTCATTCTGCTCCTCTTCTCTAAAGCTCCATCTTCTCTAAGGCATACGAAATCCAGCCCTCTTCTTCCTGGGTTTATTCACTCCCGTGTCCTTTATCAGACTTCTCCATCCCCTCCATACCCTTTCCCCTACGTGTTTTATATTTATTATATGCATTGGCGCACGCCAGGCCATTGTACCAAGCACGGATGGTCAATGATGGCGGCACGCTGTGTACGATCCTTCTATGTTCCATCCTTTTGCTCTCTCTCTCTCTCTCTCTCTCTCTCTCTCTCTCACTCTCTCTCACTCTCTTCTTCTGCTTCTCTATATCTCTGTTTCTGTTTCTGCCTTTAAATCACTATAATTATAATTAACATGTAATTTTCTTGATATTTTAGTGTTTCTAAATTGAACATATATATTTCAATTAATTCTTATTCTTGTTGATCCTATTAAAATACATTCGTCGTGAATTTTTTATGGTTGAAGGCAAAGTGATTTAAAGAGTGAAAGAGAAAGAAGAAAAAAAATAAAATGGTGAAAGAAACATGTTCGAGTAATAAATTCGAGGATAAAAAGGAAGCTAAAGGTGAGAATAAGTTGCTGGTATTTTGGGATGTAGATTTGCGGTGAAACAATAGATATCGGGTACAGCGCTGGCTTTTCTTCTTTCTTCTCTTTCGATCCTCCTCGTTCCGTTTCTAGGAGCTTTCGAAACGAGCCACAAACCGCTCCCTGTGATCGCCATTGTCTTTAGGGCAGGTTTTTATGCGCCCTCGGTGTTTGTCCCATTCTTTCGCGTAACTTCAGATTCACCGTGGGCTCCAAACTTGCTGAGAGAGCTCCGAAGGGGAAAGAAGGAAGAAAGGAAAGAGGAAACGAGAGGCAAAAAAAGAAGAAAGAGAAAGAGACTTTGTCGGACCCTTCTGGGTACTTTTGTGTTCAATGAACTCCTCCGCGACAAAATAATGGTCGTGTCAACGATTTGCTCGAATCGAAATAAGCGATTTTGTAAAGTCGAATGAGTTCCGTACAGGTTCGATATGTATATTTATTTATTACATGAAGAATTCAATTCAAAATGAACTTCTCAATCTTTTACTCTCGTAACATTTGATCGCAAATAGCCAAAATGACAGTAATATATCGACCAACACGAAGATATAATTTATATAGATTAAAATTTTGGCTAATATCGCTTATAAGAAAACGAATCTGTTGAGATGCATGTATTTGATAATCTTTGACGAAAGAATTTTACTTATGAATCATTATTCTGTTTATTTATAAAGCATAAGAGTAATTTGTCATAAAGTGAAAATAAACTTGTCTACTCAAATATAATAGTTTGATTGTTAAACTTCTATCGATCAAATACGTGAATTACATATATTAAATGATGTTTTTAATTAAATTAATTCTCAGGTGCAATAATCTGAATAACATTGATAGAACATACAATGCAGATTACATACATATCTTTCTATAAATTTTTATAGTATACAAATCTTTGAAGGTATACCAGCGACACTGAATTACATTTCGTTGGATGCAAATCGTGGAGGTTCACCTAAACTCACTCCATATCCAAATTGGGCTCAGAATAAGGCTGGTGCTTGCGGATCTGGATTAACTACTGTATATAGGTAATTACTAATAATAATCGGCGAATAAAAAAAATTTAAGAATTATTTAATGATCGATGGATTTAATTTACAGAATACACGCTGACGTATGCGATAGATTGTGGGTTTTGGATACTGGTACTATTGGATATGAAGATACAACTGTGCAAGCATGTCCTTACACATTAAATATTTTCGACTTGAACACAGATAAAATTCTGAGACAGTACAGGCTCCGTCCAGACGATATCAATCAAGTATGACTATATGTTTATAAAAGATACGACAATAATTTATTTATCATATTATCCAAAGAAAGATATTTAAATTATAAATAAATAAGCTCACACAAAACTATTAAAAAATTTTTAAATATTTGCAATATATCTTTTTTTGGAATTTAGAATCAAAATTCTTATAAATTCACTGACACGAATATTGATTATCAAGAACTTAAGAACTCTCGTTTTCCATACAATTACAATCTATCCAAACTATTAATACTGATGTAAAGATATTAATCTCTCGGACATTTTTCACAGAATACTTTCATCGCGAACATAGCCGTAGATCTTGGAAAGGGTGGCTGTAATGATGCCTTTGCCTACATGTCAGATGAACTCGGTTACGGACTGATAGTTTATTCTTGGGAACAAAACAAATCTTGGCGAATAACTCATAGCTATTTCATGCCTGATCCACTTGCTGGTGACTACAATATTGCTGGTCTTAACTTCCAATGGGGTGAAGAGGGTATTTTTGGTATGAGTCTTTCTCCAATAGCCTTCGATGGCTACAGAACGCTTTTCTTTCATCCATTGAGTAGTTATCGAGAGTTTGCCATCTCTACGAGAATCTTGAGGAACGAGGAACTTGCAAAGAACAGCTATCATGAGTTCCAGGTGAATAAAAGAACGATTTCTCTCACTTTCTCTCTTTCTTCTTCTCTTCCTTCTTCTTTCGACATCACAAGCGATTCTTAAACCGGTTTTCATTATTACGATTTACGTTTCTACGCCTACGAAACATAACGGAATGACATAATGCAAAGCGGGAGGTAAATTGATCAAGTTTATAAAAAGGCAATCGATGACGTTCGTTGATCGAATAAGAAACAATGTCTTGATAATGACAAAGGCATGTCTCTGAGAACTTAATCCGAAAAGAATCACGATGATCTCATAGTTTAATTATACTTTCATTCTTTAAAATTATTAATGCAAAAATTAAGATTATTATTCTTTCATTTTATTATTATTCTTCTATTTATTATTATTATATATCTTTATATTTTTTCAAAGTAATAAATTAGCAATGTTACCATTGAACATAATTTTTTGTTTTCTTTTTGTACAGGCACTCGAAGAGAGAGGACCTAACTCACACTGTACTGCATCGATTATGGACGAGAATGGATTGCAATTCTTCAATTTGGTCGATCAAAATGCAGTGGGATGTTGGAACTCTCAGTTGCCTTATATTTCCGCTAATCACGCATTAGTCGCAAAACACGACGAGGCTTTAATATTCCCAGCGGACGTCAAGGTATGATTAAAATTCAAAGAAAATAGGGAACATTTGGGATCGAAATAATATAAGAAAGAAAATGTTCAAATGTTTCAGGTGAATAGAGGCATGCTTTGGATAATATCGGATAAGATGCCCGTTTTCCTACTTTCAACCTTAAATTATACTGACATAAACTTCAGAATATTAACTACACCAGTTCAGGAAGCTATCTCTGGCACAGTTTGCGAAAACACACCTTGGCGATACGCCAGTAATCACATTTGGTGGGACCGATGATACCGATATAATCGAAATAAAGTATAAAAAAAGTGTAAAATCTATTTTGAAAAAAGATGAAAGCACGTGTTTACCCGCTCAAGGTTTCAAGCGGTCTCCTGTTGGCCTCGAGAGTTCCGGTCATCTAAATACAATTGGTCGTTTGTACGATCGGCAACTTCGTTTTCTTATTCTTCTTATTCTTTTTCTTCTTCCTTTTTCTTGTTCATCTTTTAAAGAAAAGAAAAAAACGAGATAAAGAAAAGAAGGTAGAAATGGAAAAGAAATGTATATCGACTACCTTTCGTCTCCTTTCTCTTCCTCCCACTACTCTAAAACTTGGTCGTTAACACTGCTTCTATGCGGAGACTTTACAAGTCCTTTAGGGTCCTTTCGAGCGATTTACCAGGACGACTAGCCGCCTCATCAATAATTCATGATAGCGGGAGGCTCCTAGGAAATAATAATATCCCTATTCCGATGGAGATTCGTTGTGGATACTTCCTTTTTTCTTCCTTCTTTTTTTAAGAAAGATTTTATCCCTTTTTTCGCGATTCCATCCTTTGGGAGAGTTTATAGTACAGATAAAGTGTACTCATAAATTTTGTAGAAATATTTGAATAGCACAAATGTAATATTCTCGATAATATATAGTATTAAAATAAATATAGATTTCTACACATATGTTAATTATATTAGATCTTTAATTATATTATTTCGTTATTTTTAATTCATTTGATTGATATGATTAGTTAACCATGAACTAATTTTAATATTTCAAAGATCATTTATCTTGTGTACTCCGAAAAAAAAATATTTCTTCTCTAATTTCGATTTTGAACAAAGATTTAAAGCAAGTCTCAAAGGTTATAGACCGTCGCAAAAATCGTAGGAAGTAAATCAAAGTGTCTTAGAATGGCGGCAGTAGTGGTAAGAACTAGGCGAGACATCCTAACACTTGGGCCAATTTCGAACGTTTATACGGCGTGAAAACGGTTATCGAATTGGCGTGAATCAGCCAGCCCGCAGGAGCCAGATGGCCCGACGTGCCCCATTAGTTTGGCCCTCGTTTCCGATAATTTTAAGGCGACCAGCCATTTCGTGCTCTGATATACGATCGGATATCGCTCGCACGATTCTTACAAAATTATCCGTTTCACGCCCCCGCCAGTAAAATATGATCTTGCCGGAGAACGCAAGTTCATCATCTTTCTTTCTTTCAAATTTCAAGTTTAGAACTCTTTGATATTTCGTTATTGTCATTATTAAGTATATTAAGTAAATCAAAAAACTATAGTAGAATATTTTGTATGTGACTCATGTAATAAAATAATCTTGTGTAAAAGTTAACTTAAAAATACTTTAATAGTTTAAATAAATAAATAACACAAAAATAGAGCATATTCTATCTAGAGAAAAAATTTATCTAAGAATTTTTAAGACGGATAAGGTACGAAAAAGAGAAAAAACAATAAGAATCGAGGTTCGTGTAGGAAGATTCTCGCTTCAAATGCTAATTCTTGCGATCTATGGATCGTAGATCGTAGCATTTGGCGCAACTAACTGGCGATTAGAAGAGGCCGAACGAGATATGTGCATGAGATTGCTGTAGATGATAACAAAGGTGTTTTCAATTTGGAAAGCAGCCCTTCATTCCCCTCTTTCTCTCTCATTCTCTCTCATTCTCTCTCTCTCTCTCTCTTTCTCTTTCTCTCTCTTTCTCCCTTTTTTATCTCTTTTTTCCCTCTTGCCATTTTTCTTCGATCGATAAAAGAAGTTTCAAAGGTTCTAAGTCTGTCTCGTTAACATGTCGATCCTGATCAGACACGATGTGCATTATGGGCATCGGCATGGATTATAATCTTAAGATCAGAAAAGATCAAGAATCTTTTCTCATGAGGCCTTCCTTTTCACTATCGTTCGAACAAAACTTTTTAATTTAAATTATTTATAGGTATATTTTCCATTAGAGAAAGTATTATTATTATTATTTTTATTATATGTATATTAAATAAAATGAATAAAAGTTTAAATTTCTCAAAATTAGATGAATTGTAATAACACGATCAATGCTCGTTTTAAAATCCAGATTCAATCTTTAAACGTGTATTGTATATATATATATATATATATATATCATTAGTCGCCGAAACTTTCTGTACAATGTTAAAAACAAAACAAATATTCAACGAATACTTATTAAAAATTTTAAGCAGTCTACAATTCCTTCTAATCTCTTTTTTTATTCTCTTTTTACTTGAGACCGATTCCAATTTACGAGGAATTAAGAAAGAAGAAAGAACGAACGTTTCTCGATCAAATTTTATTTCAGAAGGCAACATGAGTACTCGGTGCTTGGTCTTTTGGATTTCGTATCAGCTTACTATCCTTAGGTTTGTTTTAAATTAACACCTACCCACGCCCGCGGCACGCTTTAACACCTTTTTAAAAGGTGCCTGCTTCAGGCCGACCCTCGGCTTTTTTTTACCATCGGCGCCGGTAATTATGGGTTGGTTGGCTCGAGCCAACTCGCGCCCCCCTTAAAGACGACGATATATTTCTGGTAACGAGTTATTCGCACGGCAACTTTTGCATCGAAACGCTTTCTCGTCGTTCTTTTCGTCATCTTGTTCGTTTCTCTTTCTCTTTTTCTTTTTCCCCTCTATCTCTTGCTCCTTGTTTCTCTTTCTCCTTCATTATCAATCTTTTGTCTTATTTTCCATTCCAATCCTTCCTTTCCCACGAAGTAATAACGAACAACACGTTTTGCCTTTATTAACCGTCGTGTTTCATTTTCATGGAAACTGAGCTGTCCGATTTGAGACGATCAGATCTTATTCAAAAATACTAATTATAGGTGCTGTTACTCAGCGCGAACGGTCAGTTGATTAAACCTATGTCTTATTCGGTGATTATTAAAATAGATTCGATGATTTTTAATTTGTACGCTTTGCATTTTTATTAGCAAGGGACATATATTGTCCGTTTTTAAATTACTTGTATTAAATTTCATTATATTAAATTGTATGTTAATTTTTTTATAATCGACATAATTTTTTTATAATCTATATTTTTTTACGACTGTGTAAATAAGGTTGCAGATATACAGGTGTTATAGATTTAAGAATAAAAATAAATGAATAATATAATATTTGTATTTATCAGCAAATTATCGATCTAAGTAATTTAATATAAAATTAATTGTTTAATTATTAAATAATAGCAACTACCGTGCACATATATTCAAATTTTCCTTGAATCAAGATCAATAGATATCTACTTTATCTACCTCTGTTTTATCGACAGTTTTTCTAAAAACAGTCTTCATGGTAATTCTACACCTTTCGTCCATAGCATATGTGACAGCTATGAAAGAACAACTAAGAAAATACTATCCTCATCATGGACATATATATGGTGTATAAGCTTATATAGAATATATCCCTTTTAGATATGCTTAAGTATAATTCAATTAATACGTGACAATAATTTTGATATGTAGTATAAATAGTAATACATTTGACAAAAGCAAGAAAAAACTATATGCCAGATTATAATTCTTTAAAGGTAGATTGATTGAAAAAAGTTTGGTATTAATATAAACCTTATATTTTTATATTCTAATTAATTATTTATACAAATAATTAAATCGTATTTAAGTAACCACTAGCTTGATATCACTACCGATGAAATATATAACACATAACATAAAAAATAATACAAGAGGCTAACGTTAACTTTATTCTTTTATACTATTAACTATTACAATTACTTTAAAAATTACTAAAAAAATTAAAAAAAAATCTAAGTCTTATAATAATAGAGAAAAAAAATTTGTTTTTTTCTTATTAAAATCTTATACCTATTTAAATTAGAAATCAGAATTTTTCAGTGTATTTCTTGAAGACATTATTTTAGAATTCTATTTATCAATCGAAGTGTCATTAACGATGTAAAATATAAATACTTTAATGGTTGATTAGAAATAGAAAGAAGATATTTTGGAAACGTACCGAAATAAGTAGCCATTCGCCCGATAGTACTTCCTTTATAAAATCTAGATTTAGATTTCGATTAATCGCAAGCAATAGTACCGATCCAGGTCTAACCACGTGGAGGTTGCTACATCTGGAGACACACGAGCTAACGATGATTCTACTTTAACATTCGCGTTCTCGATTTTCTAATCGATATTTCGAATAATAAAACAAAATTCTCGATAGGACTTTTAATCACGCCTGCGAATACTCACGTGAGTATTAGAATAATGATAACTCTACTCTAGAAACCGCGTTTCCGGCATTCCCGATGTACTCTGTTCTCTTATTTACATTGTTATTCTCTTACTATGCTTGAACTCGTTTGAAATAGCATTTTTATATACTCATAACAAATGTTGATTAGATAGTGAAATTAATTTGCTTTATAAAGTAATTCTGCTTTCATAGTTTTAGATTATTAATATGAAAAATAGAGAAAAAGAGAAAGAGATGATGAAAATGGTTAAATATCTCTTTCTTTAAAAAAAAAAATACATATAAACAAAATTTACAAAAAGAAATAAAATATAATTACTAAAATGCTCATCATTAGGAAGACACTAATTGAAAATGTAAATTACAATATAAACGAGCAAGACGTTAACTAAACTTACGTGAAAGTTGTTTAATTTAAATAACAAACATTCATAATAATCGACCATCGTTTAAACTGTAATTCTTCGTATAATTAAAACTTTTTGCATAAATGAAATGAAAAAGAAGTCAACGATATAAGAAAATATCATACAAAATCTATTTCAAAAAATTTAATTCTATATGCATGCATATATAGCCGTATGAAATTTGAATTCTAAGATTCAATTGGTATAATCACATTCGAATTTTAGTACTAATTCAAATTTCATTTTTGAATAATTCTCGCGTGATACCGTGAAACGAGCTACGAATGAGAAAAGAAGAAGTGAAGAAACAGTAGAAGTCGAGAAGGCGATGCTCGACTATTCTCTCGAGAGTCCAGCCACGGTAAATTAGATGAAGAAGGTTCGGCTTTGCGTGACTAAGCGTATTGCTAGATTTTATGCAACAAATAAGAACTAGACTTGGGGAATAAATTGCGGGAGTGGAAGCAGGAGCAACTAAAAAAGGAAGGAAAATAGAAGAAACAAAGAAGGAGAGAAACAAGGAAGAAAGGAAGGATATTCTTCCTCTTCCCGTGTCCTTCTCCATTAATTCTCCTTTAACAGGAATGAGCGATATCCACCGACGTCTTGACAATCAAATTAAAAAGACAAATCAACGTGAGAATGTCTCATCGATCGATGATAAGAATCAAGAAAATCTGAATAAATCCGAGTATCTCGATGAAGATTTCAACGAAGAAAACAGAATAGAAGAGAATAGGACTGAAAGAGTAAACTACAATCCATTTGATCAAGGTAATTGCTAAATGTAAGTAGGATAAAGAAAAGAAGGATATACATTTTGGACTGAAAGAATGATCTACAATCCATTTAATCAAGATAATAACTAATTATAACTAGGATAAAGAAAAGGCGGATATATATTTTTTCTTCTTTTATTCATTTATCTTGAATGAGATACCTAAATAAATTCATTTTTATCGCCTTTCTATATGATCAAATTATGTTCTTATATATGGGATGATAAAAAGTTTTAAATAAACACTTTCAAATCAATTGTTAATTCAATAAAAAATTTTTTCGATCGAAATGTCCGCATAAATTCAGCGATACCGTTCAATATATCCACATGTTTACTTAAGAAAAAAAAATATTTCTAGAAGATAACTCAAGACTATCATCGATCACAACGCAAGGTGAAATATCTCAAAAAGATAAAGACGATAAATTGTTTTGCAAGTTTGAAAAGAACTCCAATAGCTTCATCATTAACACCATTCAGAATAAAGTTAAAGAAGAAGGAAACATGCAAACAACGCAAATCGAAGAGGTATATGAAACTACTTTTATTATACTTACTCTTGTTTTTAACTCGAGTAAATGTAATAACATAAGAAAGTCTATTATAGTCATATATTTTAGAAGGGCATCCCTTTTTTATATAACTAATTTACGATTTATAGTAATCTTTATACGACTACGATTACTTAGTTCATTTTGGTTCTTCCTAAAGAGGAAAAAAAAATATGGACAACGAAATGGAGAATGTAAATTAAAACAAAAATAAAAAGAAAATATCCTTACTAGATTGCAGTTGGCGAAATTAGTTATGGTAAAGATGACGGTACATCTCGAACGAAAGAAGTAATTAAGGAAGCTGTGCCAATAACGACACATAAACTTTCCAGTGAGTCAACTAATTTACGTTAATTAAAATACTAGACGTTTCTCTAACTTAATACTTTCTGAACAAACTGTACTAAAACACGAATATATACTTTTAAATTTATCACAAGAGTAGCTCGTGTTAAAATGTGTATGTATGCGAGTCCTGTGTCGTCAACAAAGAGAAAACGCTAATCAATTTTGTTATACACTTTCTATTATCCAAGCTCAAAAATTTTACCGGAAAAAAGATTAACGATCCTCCTTAAACATAGTTTCGTATACTTGTCCTAATCAAGTATTTACTCTTAATCATTCAGAGATTTTTTTTTGCGATCAAATGTATATTGAAAAAATTAGAACGATCGAATGTAAATTTACTGGATTTAAATTAAATTTTTCAAATACTTTCGAGATATTTACAATTGTGAAAAAAGAAAGAAATAAATGTTCCCTTAATTAGTGAGTCGAATAAAAAAGAGAGAAAAAGAAATCTTGTTAAAAAGTCGTTGACTCTCTCTTTTCTTATGTATGGAAATTAATCTAAATCAATGTAGACATTTATGCACGCACATACACGCATACACACATATACGCATTTTTCATAATTCTGAAGGTAACTGACGATGACCTCATACGTAATCGCAGCAAACGTGAACAATGATGAAGTTATTAGAAAACCATTGAGAAATGATACCATAAAAGCAGATACAAGGAGGCTTAAAACCGTAACACTCGATAGAGTTGGTAGGATTTTTAAATCCCGAGGACAGACATGCGAGATGGATAAAGCCGAAATGAACTTGGACAATGCAATGGTTAGGAATTTCGTAACATATGATTCTATTATTCAATTATTAACTTATGGTATAATTACGAATATATTAACAAAAAAGAATTAGTAAATAACAGAGCACACAAATAAAGTAATAATAATTGTTGATATGTATCAATTATTTGCTTTAAGACATTATTATTTATTACGATATAACGTTATATTTTTGAACATTTTACAACATTTTTGAATATTTTAATGTTCTTGGAAAAACATTAATTATCTGGAAACACACAAATTTCTACGGATAGAGTATAACAGAATCTGAGGAAAAATACGACGAGCAAACTTCGAGGAAGGACAAAACCAATTCTTTGGGAAGAATGTTAAAGTTGGTGGACAAAGATGGCGCACCAAAGAAGCTTTTCCCTCATCCACGTGCTGGATCCTTGAGTAGGATTTTTCGTAAACATTCGACTAATGTGAACATCGAAACCGTTGACAAGACAGAGGAAGAATCCCCCGGAATTTTTTCAAGAATGTTTAATCATCTAAGAGGTACTAAGTAACTATGTTAAACATTTTTATAAGTCTCAAAAAATAAAAAAAATAAATGAGACTTGTTAAAATAAAGAAAAGAAAAAACCTATACTATTCCTAAATTTTACATATTTTTAACAAATTTTTTCATGAAGTAGAACATGTTTTTTTTTTTTTTATGAATTTTCTTTATGTCATAACTTCGGTATAATTTACATTCATTAATACGAAAGTGATTAAAAATTAATACAAATTAATAATTCATGAAAAGAAAGAAAGGAGCAAGGTTAATTTATCTGAGAGAAAGAAATTCAAAAAAGTTTCTTCTTTTCATCGTTTTCCAAATTAACTCTCATTGTACAAAATATATTTGTTAAAAACAACGATGAAAGCATTAAAAAATTCTTTATTTTTTTTTTAGGTCGTTCCGCAAATAGCAGAAATAGGAGCAATTCAAACAACTTACGCGAAACAATGGAAAAAGAAAAGTCCTCGTTACCTCCGAAATTACCAATGAGTTCGAAAATATTGTCCCAAAAATCTTCAAAACCACCATTATCGGTATCATCCTCATCGTCATCGGCGGCTGAAAAGCAGCAACCAACGAGATCATCCCAAAGAACTTTTAATCTAGCATACAAATCTTAAATTTCTCGTTGATCGATCCATACAAATTTATAGCTTATAATTGTGAAAACGAACAAAAGAACAGAAAAAAGCAATAACAAAAAAGACAACATTATACAGTACACAGAATGTCAACTTTAAGTGCAATATCTTTCTTTCTTTCTTTTTTGTTTTCTTTTATGCAAGAATCGATCAAAAGAAAATCGTTGGGCGATATTTTGTTGAGAAAATATTAAATAGAGTAATAAATTTATTTGTAAGTTCAAAAAACGATTGTGCAAGACAAAATGTCCAAAGATAAAAAATACGCATCAATTATCAGAATCAGCATCGTTTATTTGATGAACGTGCATTTTACCATACCACATTTTTTTTTATTTTTTCTCTGCATAGTCGTATTGATTATGCAAAATACGTGGAACAATTTGTCTCTATCTCTCTTTCACGCACGCACATATACACATACACACACCACATTTGCGCAAATTTTTTCCATATAATTTTTCCATGCCACAGCACACGTATGTATATCTCATTCATAATAATAAACCTACGAACTTTTTGTAATTACGCTGGTATAGAGAAGTGACTGCAAAAATGAATCGATAAGAAGAAAAAGTTAATGAAAAAAAAAAAAAAAAAAAAAAAAAAAAACAAACGAAATATGCGCAAAGAAAATCGATGATATGAGAGTTCTTCTCTTTTCTTTTTTATTCGCAGGTTCATTCTCCGTTTTAAATCGCATCGTGCTGTTATCGCAATAATCTCGTAAAAAAATGTTTATATACAAAACAGTTCGGCATCCATATTTACTTTTATTTCATCTTTATACGGATACCTTGTGTTTAAAATATATATACATACATATAAATATATATATATATATATATATATATATATATATATATATATATGTATATGTATATATAAGTGTAGATCCTTAACATCAAGCTTATTATCATTAATATTTACAACGTCATAATAAATTCAAAACATACCACGAATCATTAATATTAATATTATTATCATCACTATTATTATTATTATCATTATTATTATCTATCACCTTGTTGTCTTTCGCCTATGTAAATTTCATCTTTCCTTCGTATTTGATTCTTCTCTTCTTCTTTTTCGACTATTTTCTACCTGCACGGAAAATGAATGAAAAAATTATTGTATTCAATGTCCCTTATCTTTCATTTTCTCTCTCTCTCTCTCTCTCTCTCTTTCTATTTCTATCTACACATATATATATATATATATATATATATATATATATATATATATATATATGTAGTTCTTTCTCCGCGAACCACAAATCGTGATTTATCACAGAATAACATAAAATTATTAATGGTAATGCTCGCGGCTAAAGTCGCGTATTATTTTTTTCAGTAGCGCTATAAATGTTATTGACTTATAAGAAAAATGTTTCTTTCCTTCTTATATATATATATATATATATATATATATATATATATATAATACATTTTCCTTTCTCGTTCACACTTTGATATGGTCACCGAAATCTATAAAATTTTAAACGTCGAATTGCATAAATATCCCTCGAATATATTACTTAATTACATACGAAGATACTTCTAAGAATATATTTCGACGATAATAGGAGCATTGGCAAATAAAAAATAACGTTGGAAGCAATTAGAAAGTACTCTATTATCGAGTAACGAGAAGTGTATGAAAGCATTTGCAAATTTTTTGTATTTTACATGCTCACGACTTCATTATTTGAGATTAGACTAACGAACATATGCCTGTATCTATGAATGAGTTTCACATGAATGAACGCAAGTACTTCTCATTGGGAGGAAAAAATGTCATTACCGAAAATAATTTTTCAAGAATATCGACCGTTTCGTTTCTTCTGGTAAAATTCAGAAATTTTAGAAGATTAATTGATGATAAGCATGATGTTTCTTTTAAATCGTAAAGCTTACAAATGAAAATGATATTTAGCGATGTTAGAGAAGTAAAAAAAGCATTGTCCTTGCATCCATCCGAGGAAACATTTGTATACATATATATTCATATATTTATAATTATTTACAATGGCCCGATTACCCAAAGATAGAAAAATTAAACATAAGGAGGAATACTGTAGAGAGGGAGGGGCACCTTAGATTAGATTATTTGCACCTAAGAACACTGCGGTAGAAACTACGAATTAGCGAGATTCGTTTCCTCCTTTTCTTTTCATTTTTATCATTAAAAAATATCAACAAGTACGATTATTGATTGCACATACATATACATACGCGTACACAAAAGTTAGCGCTTTTATTATGGAAAACAGTATCATTCTACATATTTTCTCCTTTTTTCTTTTTTTAATCTATTTTGTCTCGTTTCGTTTTTCGTTTTCTTTTTCATTTTTTTTTATTTTTTTTTTTTTTTTTTTTTTTTTGATAGACATGTGCAAAATGCATTTACCGAGTCTAAGATTTCGTTCCTACGATGCTTCGTTGATTTTTCCGGTTTTTGAACATTCTTGATTCATATTGAACGTAAGAAAATTTTTCATTCAGCAATTCGCTATTAGATAATAAAAGTTTTCCAAAAATACGCGATGTCCCTTCTATTCCAAAATTTCCTCACTTTTGAAAACTTCTTTTTTTCTATCTAATCGGAAAAATATCGCAAAAAAATGTTTCGATTGGACCTCGTTGTTTATCGTTTCGAATGTTGCTTTCTCTCTCTCTCTCTCTCTCTCTCTCTCTCTCTCTCTCTCTCTCTCTCTCTCTCTCTCTCGCTTTCTCTCTCTCTCTCTCTCTCTCTCTTTCTCTCCCTCGCTCTCTCGCTTTCGTCGTTTTACGAAAAATTAAGTACTCTCTCGTACCTTCTTTAATTGCATTAAAAAATCGAACTTAAATACTGAAAGCAATATATTAAACGTTTCACAAGATATTCATCTGAAATAGTTCGATAACCATAAAGACACGTTATCGGTTAGTGATTTATCCATGAAAAAGTGATATGGCTTCTACGAAGATGCGAGTTTCTTGTTCCCACTTGTTTGGCCTAACTCGAGAGTAATGATTCAAAAAACAGTATCTTCACATTTTTTCCCGCTTCGTCCACATCTTTTACTTCTTTCTTCATTTAATTAATTCTTTAACACTTAATTGGCACGTCTAGAACGGCTCTTGGACGGATGGTTGTCATTTTTGATAACAGCTAGATGAAATAGCAAATTTCGACGTCGCACTCGTCACAAATCCACGTTCGAACGTTTTGTTATTAAATTCATCATAGATTTGTAATCTTAAAGAAGAATGTTCGAATTATAAAAATTTTTATTTAATTTTTAAACAATTGGACAAAATGTTTTGTCAATAATTTCAAATTTCCAAATGTTCATACGTGCATTTAAAACGAAAGCGAATCGATCGTGACAACCCAATTGAATTTGTTCACTTGGTAATTCATTATGATATGCAAATCTGTATCTATCTAAGGGATCAACGCGAGCACGTACGATAATTACTATGCACAGAAAATGGCAGCTACGCGTATACGATATATTACGACTTCTCTTTCTCTCTCTCTCTCTCTCTCTATCTCTCTCTCTCTCTCTCTCTCTCTCTCTCTCTCTCTCTCTCTCTCTCTCTCTCTCTCTTTTATTCTTTTTTTTCAAGCAACAACGATCATACAGCGTTGTATTCCTTTGTCATTCGATGAATGCACTTGACAGCTTCAAATTCAATCTTTTCCTCTTGTCTTCAAGATTGACAAGGCTGTCTTAATAACAGCATTAGAGCAAAAATTGTTTGCAATAAGAGTAAATCGATGAGATCAAACTCCCTTTAAAGTGGAAGTTTTCGGGTCGGATGAAACTGAATATGGACAACGTTATTGAGTCGAACAAGTCCTCTGACTGATTATACTTATCGTCGATGAGTAACTAAACATCCGACAACGTGAAAGATTCCAAATGGGATTATAAAATTGATCGTACTATCTCTCTTTCTCTTTCTCTTTCTCATTTCAAACTCTCATAATCTGTTCCATTTGTTATCTGCTTTTATCTTTTCTAAATGTCTTCCCTAAATTCCTCTGACTTTTCTCTGATCTTTCCTTCGGCGAGATTCAGAAAACCCTGAAGAATCAGACGTACGTCAGATACTAAAATATTTTAGAAATAGGACGTCCATGCTCGCAAGTCGATATCCTTAATAACCAGTAATCGGATCATCACATTCCCGACTCGGCTATTCCTTCGTCATCTGCAAAGATATACAAGGAAAGGAATGATTATTTTGTTACCAAAAACTTTTGTAAATTCATCGTATCAAAATCATGCTTCGATTAGAAATTATGCGTTCAATGAAACGCGCATCGATGAAAAGCGAATATCAATACAGCATTAATTCAGTAAGAAAACAATGCTTTTACTATTTCTACACGAATATACAACTCGTGTTGGCACAATGTTTTACGGTTAATGAGATTATTCATAATTTCTTCATTTTCTTTTTTTTTTTGTTGTTTTCTTAACCATAATAGTTATTTGGAAATGAGAATTTTAGTTTGCACAGAATAAAAGATTTTTGCACTAAAGCTGTTAATACGTAGGCAGGCAAATCTTTTGGCGAACATCGCACCAATGCAGAGGCGGCAGCAACGTTGTTGAAAACTTCTTTCTTTCTACTTTTTTTTTTGCTTTTCATTTATTTGCCTATTAATGCAAACAATGAATTTTTTATTACGCAAAATTCTAACGATCAGCGGACTTTTTCCACGGCCAAGTTCCTCCGCCTTCTTTCGTGTTTTATCGTCATGATCATCTTGCATGCATCACTATGCGCGTCATATAGGTGTATATACATATATACACATATATTATATATACGTTGATTTATGTGTATAATGATATCATGTTAACAGATGCAACACATTCAAGTTCGTGCACGGAGAGAAAAAGCGACGGTCGAAATTACCATCGACGCAGGATTCGGAGTTTGAAGGTCACCTCTCCTTTTCATCCTCGGCAGGACTCTTAGCGTTTTCGACCGAGCTTCGATTCTTTCCTGGATTCAAATGTTATAAAAGGTAGCAAAAGGTGTGGTCAGTGACTATACAACGAGGCGATACGATTTTG